AACACCAACATGTCAGAAAAAAAAAAAAAAAAAAATAAAAAACAGAATAACAGAGTTGAAAAAAGGATCACTCCCCCACCCCTCCTGAAAATTACTCCCCCACCCCTCCTGAAAAGTAAACTCAATCAGGTGTAGCTAATCAACTTCTCAATGGCACACACATCCATTTGACTTTCAGCTGTGGTCATTTTGATTAGCTCAGCATAAAAAGAGATTTCCTGGAGCATTTCAGTCCCTTGTAGTGCATGTGAGGCATACAATCAACTATGGGTGACAAGGCACTGTCAAAAGATCTCCAGTATAAAGTTGTGGACAGGCACAATTCATGAAATGGTTACAAAACAATTTCAAATTCTTTATCAATGCCTAGAAGCACAGTGAAGTCTATTATTAAGAAGTGGACAGTATTTGGTACAACACAGACCCTCCCTGGATCAGGACATTGCTCCAAGCTGGATGAGAGAGCCAGGAGGAAACTGGTCAAAGAGGCTACCAAGAGGCCTACAGCAACTCTGAAGCAGTTGCAGGAATTTATGACAAAGAGTAGTCATTGTGTGAATGTGACAATGATATCACAAATTCTCCACAAATGTGGCTTGTATGGGAGGGTTGCAATAAAAAGCCACTCCTCAAGAAAAGCCACATGCAGTCATCACTGAGCTTTGCCAAAACTGGCCATGAAGATTCTGAGGCCACATGGAAAAAGGTGTTATGGTCAGATAAATCTAAAGTTGAATTATTTGGCTCAACACTAAATGAAATGTTTGACGGAAATCCAATACAGCTCACATCCAATACAGCCATAAATAACATATTCCTACAGTCAAGCATGGAGGTGGTAATATCTTGTTGTGCGGGTGTTTCCCTGCAGCAGAGACTGACGCACTTGTCAGGACAGAAGGAAAAATGGATGGGGCAAAATACCATCAAATTCCTGAGAAAAATCTGCTGCCCTCTGCAAGAAAGTTGTCAATGGGAGGAATGTTTACCTTCCAACATGACAATGACCCAAATCACACAGCAAAAATGACCACACAGTGGCTGGAGGAGAATTAGGTGAATGTCTTTGCATGGCCTAGTCAGAGGCCAGACTTAAACCCTACTGAAAATCTGAAGAATGCCTTGAAGACTGCAGTCCACAAACAGTCACCATCAAATTTAACTGTACTTAAGCGGTTCTGCAAAGAAGAGTAGGCAAATATTGCAAAGGCTAGATATGAAAAGTTAGTAGAGACATGAAAACAGACTAAAGGTTATAATTAAAGCAAATGGTGATTCAACAAAATACTGACACATGGGGGGGTAATCCTTTTTCCAACTCAGAGATTCAGTTTTTGATTTTTCTTTATTTTTTTCTGACATGTTAGTGTTATACCTTTCACTTGGATGTAATTAGTTGAATACAGCTCAATAAAATAAAAACCGTGACTGTCTTAATTTCAGGCTGCAAAGCAACACAATGTGATTATTTTAAAGGGGGGGAGGTGATACTTTTCTATTGACAAACTTCTTGGGCACTGGTAACCAATAATGAGGTCCTATGGCTTGTGACCACAGCTGCTCAATAAATCATAGGAGACATATGTGAATAGAACAGTAGCTGATACTGAGCACTATTGGTATAGAGCCAAATTAATAGTGACCAGTAAAGTATTAAAAATTAGCAAGGATGAGGACAATGTTATCCAGAGTAAAAAAGAAGGCTTTTAATATCCACTTGAAAGGAATTAAACCCAGTGTTCATAGTCATTATGTCCAATGTAAACGAAGGAAAAAGTGGGTGGTATAGCCCAAATGTGTGTGAATGTGGTTAATAAAATTGGCTTACTGCTGAGGAAAGCTATACAACCCACTTTTTCCTTCGTTTACATTGGACATATGACTCTGAACAATGGTTTAATTCCTTTCAAGTGGATAATAAAATCCTTCTTTTTTACTCTGGATAACATTGTCATCATCCTTGCTAATTTTTAATACTTTATTGATCACTATTAATTTGGCTCTATATCAATAGTGCTCAGTAACAGCTACTGAGTAGATATAAAAAGTCTACACACCCCCTGTTAAAATGTCAGGTTTCTGTGATATAAAAAAATGAGACAATGATAAATAATTTCAGACCTTTTTCCACCTTTAATGTGACCTATAAACTGTACAACTCAGTTGAACAGCAAACTGGAATCTTTTAGGTGGAGGGAAGTAAAACTAAAAAACTAAAATAATATGGTTGCATAAGTGTGCACACCCTTAAACTAATACTTTGTTGAAGCACCTTTTAATTTTATTCCAGCGCTCAGTCTTTTTGGGGATGAGTCTATCAGCATGGCACATCTTGACTTGGCAATATTTGCCCACTCTTCCTTGTAAAAACACTCCAAATCTGTCAGACTGCGAGGGCATCTCCTGTGCACAGCCCTCTTCAGGTCACCCCACAGATTTTCGATTGGATTCAGGTCTGGGCTCTGGCTGGGCCATTCCACAACTTTAATATTCTTCTGGTGAAGCCGTTCCTTTGTTGATTTGGATGTATGCTTTGGGTCGTTATGCTGAAAGATGAAGTTCCTCTTCATGTTCAGCTTCTAGCAGAAGCCAGAAGGTTTTGTGCCAATATTGACTGGTATTTGGAACTGTTCAAATTTCCCTCTACCTTGACTAAGGCCCAGTTCCAGTTGAAAGAAAAACAGCCCAAAAGCATGATGTTGCCACCACCATGCTTCACTGTGGGTATGGTGTTCTTTTGGTGATGTTCATTGCTGTTTTTGCACCAAACATATCTTTTGGAATTATGGCCAAAAGGTTTAACCTTGGTTTCATCAGACCATAACACATTTTCCCACATGCTTTTGGAAGACTTCAGATGTGTCTTTGCAAACTTTAGCAGGGCTTGGATGTTTTTCTATGTAAGAAACTCTACCCCATAGCCTAGACATATGAAGAATACAGGAGCTTGTTGTCACATGTACCACACAGCCAGTACTTGCCAGATATTCCTGCACCTCCTTTAATGTTGCTCTAGGCCTCTTGGCAGCCTCCCAGAAAAGTTTTCTTCTCTGTATGTATATACAGTATATTTATATATATATATATATATATATATATTGGCTTCCTCTCTCTGCTCTTCTTATCTGTTTTTTTTGTCATTGTTTTTGTTGTTTTATGCGCTTTTTCTATTTTTATTTTTTTGCAGCATATGTGTGAAACACACATGTAAAAACTCAGTTTATAAAATAAAATAATCCATGCAAAAATTGATCAAATATTTTATTTTTCGAGGCACTTTGAACAATAAGATAAAAAGAGTCCAAATAGAAATGTTATATAAAAAAAAGATATCAACAATCTCTAATAACCATAAAATACACCAAAGAACAGCACATTTGTAAATTTTACAACGATAGGCTGTAAATAGCTATGGGGGTTGAAGGGATTTTTTTTTTCTTTTTAAATAATGCGCCTAGTTAGGCTGTTAGGTAAATTTAGTCATAGGCTCCACTATTGTGAGTGGTGTGGAAGCTTACAGTTAAGCTGTTAGGTAAATTTTGCTCCACTGTAATGAGTGGAGTTGTTGATAATTATTTGGGTCTGCTCAGGGTTCCTGAGCTGAGAGTTTGATTGCTTCCCCTGCCTCTGGAATAAGCTTCTAGAGTATAGGGAGGGAGATTCAAGTGATCAACTGAAAATTTATCATACCGGGGTCAATCCCTGGAAGGGGGCATCCAGAAGGTGGGGATGTGATAAATAGAACGCCTGAACAGATTGTTCAGTCCTGTTCAGGTAAGCGTCCAGTACACTTGGGGCTGCTGCCCCTAAGAGCAGAATTGCTGAGACAAGAGACTACAGTTTAGGCTTCATCGATGGCTGGGCCTTAGGAGAATTGGTGAAGAGGCATACCTGCTGAAGGACACTGCTTCAGAGTCCTGGTTTTTAGAAGGAGTTTGTTATCTTCCTTAGAGAGATCTACCTGTGAAGGCTGGGTGGCAGACAGCTCCTAGGATTCTGTGAGTAAAGATCTTGCTGGAGATTATTAGCTACTTTGCAAATTCCAGAAGGGATCAGTGGCCAGAGGTTGCCCTGTGGTCTGCAGCTGTAGGGCCTTAGACACCACTCCCTGCTACCTCCAGAAAGTTGCTATCAAGACTAGAGAGATGTTTGTCCTCCTGTGCAGTTGCTGAACATTTGGCAGTATCCTGTGACCCCACACCACTTTCTCCTGTTAAAGTTCTGCTGCAATAAATCCTAAAAAGACGTCTCCCGGACTGTCGATGTTACTTTTTATTGTGCTGGTGTGATTGGTGGCCTGTTTGTTTCCAGCAGCCCATTCTGGGGTGAGCTCTACAATAAGCTGCATTGCACCATTAAAGTTTAAAAAAGCAGCTTATCCTTGGTACTTTTCCCCACAGATTTGGTGCTCAAAGGTCCACCTCTGCTCATCTTCCAGGTAGAAAAATGGCCAGCATCATTTAACCCACTTGCTGTAGGGCCAGATTGCTTGGGGTGTGTTAGCAAATTTACAAAAGCAAAACTATTGTGTGGCCCTTTAGACATGTTGGGACCACTTTTCAGTCCCGCTATACTTACTAAATTTTCCCCCACTCCTCTAAAATTAGGTTTCTAACAGCTTAGGAACATCAACTGCTGTCTATATTAGAGGGCTGGCAGGCTGCCAGGATTCTGATGCAATACAAAGTAATAGGAAAAAGAGCAAAGATTTAATTGTCTCAGTTGTGCACTTAAAGTGTCACTAAGCCCAGGGCCCTGCATTCGCTACATCTGGTCTCACACAGTACACACAACATGGAAGTGTAATTTTTTTAGTAAATAATATAAACTGCTAAATACCTTTTTGCATCATCAGTTAGAGCAGTCTTGTGACATCTATCAGTGTCCAGCAGAGCACATGTTAAAACTTGTAGAAGGAGTTTTCATTCTGCTGTAGGAGGATGCAGGACCCCTGAACTCTGTCTGGACAGTGCTGATTGTCCATGCGCTGATCACATATGCTCTCCCAAGGAAAACAAAACTGTCTAGCAATAAAAACCAAAATGAGCATGTATAGAGTGACTCAACACGATATGTCTTATCAGGAGATAAGAGGGGGATACTGGAAGAAGGGGAGGATCAGAGAAATCAGGATCAAACAGGGTTTTTACATGCAGATTTTTAACCCCTTAGGTTCCACAGTGAGTATAACAAGCATGCTTTACTGCATATACAGACTGATTTTACTGCTGTGGGTTTAGTAACACTTTAAGAATAATTTTCTCTGCAGTGCCTGTAGAAGTGAATTACTTTTCATTTTAAATTGTTTTTACAATTTTTTTTAGACTATGTTAATGTTTGTGTGCATAGTCTGGGAACATATTCACTGAACTTTAGCATGTATACCAGTGTATGTTTCCAAGGTTGTGGTGGCACTAAAGTCTTACAGTGCTGGCCATACAATCCTGTGTGCACATTGGTTGTAGTGCCTGTCAAGAGAAGCTGTATAAGAGAATGACATAAAAATGCTAAATCACCAATAGCTGCAGTTTCATATATATGCTCTCTGTCACCATAGGAGATGCAACTTTGAGGTTGATTTACTAAAACTGGGGTGTACAAAATGTGGTGCAGTTCTACATAGAAACCAATCAGCTTCCAGGTTTTATAGTCAAAGCTTAACTGAACAAGCTGAAGTTAGAAGCTGATTGGCTCCTATGCACAGCTGCTTCAGATTCTGGGTGCTCCAGCTTTAGTAAATCTCTGTCTTGCATGTGCAAAAGCATGAGTATCACAATCAGCCACCATTGTTATTTATTCTTGCATAAAATCCAGTGATTTCTATGGCGTTTGCTATATTATAGTTATTGGCAATTGCCTTTTTCTTTCATAAAGCTAACTAATCTACCAACATATCGTATACTTTCTAAAATAATGATAGGCAAGCTTTAGTCATTGTAGAGATTTTTTTTTTCTATTTTCAAAATGGAAGAAACTAATCATGGTAGCAAGCTGTAATTATTTTTCACACATTCACTGATGTCAGTTATCCTGCACACAAGGAATTTCATATAAGCAAATTTCTAGTAAAAGACTTTAGCTGTGTCGTTATTAAATTGCCTTGTTGACATTGAAGAACTTTTCAATGTGTAAAATGAGAGATAGCACCAGAGCTGGAACTTGAACAAAGAACAGTTAAAGTACTGACACTTCAGTAAAGGATTAAACACTGAACTAACACTCTGACTGTTTGTAGTTAGGTTAAATAATGACAAGGGATGACATACACCTTCATCCCTGTTTGCTCTATTGTAATGCCATGTTCAAAACAGATATATGATTTACAGGTAGAATAATATTATTATTATACAGTATTTATATAGCGCCAACGGTTTGCTCAGCGCTGTTCATTATGGGAGACAGTATTCGAGACAGTACAGTAACAATACGATACAATACACGAGGGGTTCAAGGGCCCTGCTTCTTGGAGCTTACAATCTAGGAGGGAGGGGAGAGTGGTACAGGAGGAAATAGCTGTGGGGGATGGAGTGGTGGGAAGAGCGGAGGAGATCAGCAATTAGGTGAGGGCGGGGTAGGCTTCACTGAAGAGATGGGTTTTCAGGGTGCGCCTAAAGGTGAGGGGGGTAGTGAGTTCCAGAGGATGGGGGAAGCCCTGGAGAAGTCCTGGAGACAGGCATGGGAGGAGGAGACCAGGGAACTGGAGAGTAGGAGGTCTTGTGAGAATAAAGTATCAATCCCAAATCACCTTCCAAATTTAACATTTTAAATACTGATATATATAAAATAACAATGTCCGAATACTTAGTGTCTTGCTTTCCCTGTTTTTCCAGAGTTTTGCTTAAAGTAGTACTAAAGACTTAAGGTGTTTACCTTAATGAATTCGCTGATTAAGGTAAAAAATGACCCAGTATATGTGCTAGCCCTCATCTTCAAACGTATCCCCTGTCCTTGTCACTGCCCCAGGCTCCACAATCGATCAGCACAACTTCCCAAACTTGCTTGTTCTCCCATTGAGGACAAGGGACAGATATGCTCCTGTTTCAGCACCACTTCCCAAATTTCCTTATTCTACAGGAGGCACGGGAATGATAGGCTCCTGCTGCCATCAGTCAAATTTCTGGGGAGAGGATGGAGTAGGGGCATGGCTATGGATACAAACAGCTCAAATCAAGTCCTGGATGGCTGTCTCCTTATCACATTACTAGCTAAAGGAGACACCCTCAAAGGAGTGACATGTCACTCAGCAAAACAAATGTAGTATCTGTGATATATATATATATATATATATATATATATATATATATATTTATATATGTATATTGCTCAAAAAAATTAAAGTAACACTTTGAAAACACATCAGATCTCAACGGGGAAAAATATCATGCTGGAAATCTATACTGATATGGACTGGGCAATATGTTAGGAACATAAGGATGCCCCATCATTTGATGGAAATGAAAGTTATCAGCCTACAGAAGACTGAATTCAAAGACACCCCGAAAATCAAAGTGAAAAAATTGTGCAGCAGCCTAGTCCAATTAAAGGAATACTTTTTAATCACAGTATAGCAAGTAAATTAAACTCCTGGGATATTGATCTGGTCAGTTAAGCAGCAGAGGGGGTTGTTAATCAGTTTTAACCGCTTTGGTGGTAATAAAATTAACAACAGGTGCACTAGATGGGCAACAATGAGACAACCCCCAAAACAGGAATGGTTTTACAGGTGGAGGACACTGCCATTTTTTTCCCTACTCATCTTTTCTGACTGTTTTTCACTACTTTTGCAGTTAGCTAGGGTCAGTGTCACTACTGGTAGCATGAGGCGATACCTGGACTCTACAGAGGTTGCACAGGCAGTCCAACTCCTCCAGGATGGCACATCAATACGTGCCATTGCTAGAAGGTTTGCTGTGTCTTCCAACACAATCTCAAGAGCAGGGACCTGTCAATTCTGATGTTCAATGGCAAATGCCAATTGTGCTCTATGATGCCAGGCAGCGAGCATGGGGCCCACTGGAGGACAACAGGCCCTCAGGCTACCCTCATGAAGCCTGTTTCTGATTGTTTGGTCAGAGACATTCACACCAGTGGCCTGCTGGAGGTCATTTTGTAGGGCTCTGGCAGTGCTCATCCTGTTCCTCCTTGTACAAAGGAACAGATACCAGTCCTGCTGATGTGTTAAGTACTGTCTACGGCCCTCTCCAGCTCTCCTAGAGTAACTGCCTGTCTCCTGGAATCTCCTACATGCTCTTGGGACTGTGCTGGAAGACAAAGCAAACCTTCTGACAATGGCACGTATTGATGTGCCATCCTGGAGGAGTTGAACTGCCTGTGTAACCTCTATAGGGTCCAGGTATCTCCTCATGCTACCAGTAGTGACACTGACCCTAGCTAAATGCATAACTAGTGAAAAACAGTCAGAAAAGATGGGGAGGGAAAAAAATTTAGTGACCTCCCCCTGTAAAACCATTCCTGTTTTGGAGGTCATCTCACTGTTGCCCATGTAGTGCACCTGTTGATAATTTCATTACCATCAAATCAGCTGAAACTGATTACCAACCCGTTTTGCTACTTAACTGACCAGATCAATAACCCAGGAATTTAATTGACTTTATGCTATACTCTGATTAGAAAGTGTTCCTTTAATTTTTTTTAGCACTATATATATATATATATATATATATATATATACAGTTGCAAGAAAAAGTATGTGAACCCCTTGGGGTTACGTAGAGTTTTGCATGAATTGGGCATAAAATGTGCTCTGAACGTCATCTAAGTCACAACAATAGAAGAACACAGTCTGCTGAACATAATACTACACAAACATTAGATGTTGCCATGGTTTAATTGCACATAACATGTAAACATTCACAGTGCAGGGAGGAAAAAGTATGTGAACCTTTGGACTTAATAACTGGTTGACCTTCCTTTGGCAGCAATAACCTGAACCAAACATTTCCTGTAGTTGCAGATCAGACCTGCACAACGATCTGGAGTAATTTTGGACCACTCCTCTTCACAAAACTGTTTCAGTGTAGCAATATTCTTGGGATGTCTGGTGTGAATCGCTCTCTTAAGCTCATGCCACAGCATTTCAATGGGGTTGAGGTCAGGACTCTGACTGGGCCACTCCAGAAGGCGTATTCTGTGCTGTTGCAGCCATTGTTTTGTTGAATGACTTGTATGCTTTGGGTCATTGTCCTGTTGCATCACCCATCCTATGCGGAGCTTCAGTTGGCGGACAGATGGCCGTATGTTTTCCTGCAAAATGTCTTGATAAACTCTGGAATTCATTTTCCCATCAATGACAACAATCCGTCCAGGCCCTGAGGCAGCAAAGCAGCCCCAAACCATGATGCTCCCTCCGCCATGTTTCACAGTGGGGATGAGGTTTTGATGTTGGTGTGCTGTGCCTTTTTTTCTCCACACATAGTGTTGTGTGTTCTTCCCAAACAACTCAATCTTGGTTTCATCTGTCCACAGTATATTTTGCCAGTAGTGCTGTGGAACATCCAGGTGCTCTTTTGCAAACTTCAAACGTGCTGCAATCTTCATTTTGGACAGCAATGGCTTCCTCCGTGGTGTCCTCCCATGTACTCCATTCTTGTTTAATGTTTTCCTTATTGTAGATGTGTCAACAAAAATGTTAGCATGTGCCAGAGATTTCTGTAGGTCTTTAGCTGACACTCTGGGATTCTTCTTTACCTCATGCAGCATTCTGCGCTGTGCTCTTGCAGTCATTTTTACAGGACGACCACGCCTAGGGAGAGTAGCAACAGTGGTAAACTTTCTCCATTTGTAGACAGTCTGTCTTACCGTGGACACATGAACATCAAGACTCAAGGAGATACTTTTGTAATCCTTTCCAGCTTCATGCAAGTCAACAATTCTTGATGGTAGGTCTTCTGAGAGCTCTTTTCTGCGAGGCATGGTTCACATCAGACAGTGCTTCTTGAAACCAGTAAACCCAAAACAGGTGTGTGTTTTTTAAGGGCAGGACAGCTGTCAGCAACACATCCAATATCATCACACTGATTGGAGTCAAGGTTGGCTCACTCCTGGCTCCAATTAGCTCTGGGAGAAGTCATTAAGCTAGGGCCTCACATACTTTTTCCTCCCTGCACTGTGAATGTTTACATGCTATGTG